GGGAAAGTAAAGCAGGAAGGCGCAACCAAGGTTGAAGAGCCAGTAGCGCCCGTCCGTCTTCATGCTGCCAAGGGAGCAAGCAAGACCCGCTTGCTGCGCCATCGCCTTTGTTGCGGTGTCGCCGTGCACCAAGACGATCATGTTGTACATCGGCAAAAGAAAGAAGCGTGCCTCATCGCACAGGCGAGTGACGACCTTGTGCACGCGCTCAGAGTCCTTCCAGAGGCCTCTGGTGATGTCGCAGATGAGGTAGCGCTTGGAAGTAACAAAGCGCTGGACCCATCTGTCGGTGAACATGCTGGCCCAGTGCAAGAAAGCAAGAACGGTGTACCTTGCTGCAAAAGAGTCACTGCTCGAGATCTGCGTCAGGTCCTTTGAACCCCACCAACGCATCGTTCCATACGTTTTGTTGCGCCTGTCGCACCAGTACCCCAGGTAAAAAATCCCTTCTTTCCTGGCAGTGTCATAATGCGCAGTGGCTTTAAGCACCACATCGCGCGCAAGATCATGTCCTTGTTTAGAGGCGCGCTGGATCTTGGCGACGTCCTCAAACATGCACGCCTGCATGCGTTGAAGTGCAGCGTGTCCATGGTATGGTGCGGGCTCATTGGCCCAGGGATCGTGCGAGGTTCCAATGACCCAGTTGGCAGCATAGAGCATTGGGCCATAATTATTCATTGGGGCAAGCTGTGACCCAGAGATGATGCGCCGCTTGCGCATCTCCAGCTTCAGGCCTTGCTTGCCATTGCTGACCACCTCACAGAGCTGAGGAAAATGCTGGTTCTGGGCTGTGTTGGCCAGCTTCTCACGAGAGAGTCCCCTGACACGGGCCTTGTACTCTTCACGGCTCTCCATCTTGTGGAGCATGCGATCAGAGGTGATGCCAAGCTGAATCAGCATGCGACGCAGCTTCTTCTCCTCGTTGTTGTTGATCGGTGCTGTGCAGTTCATCTTGATACGAAAAAATGCTTTTTTAAGGTGTTTCTGAGGCTTTGAATGGTGCTAAAGGTGTCTCAAAAACTCTAGGTATCGAGGATGATGTAGTCATGAAGATCGAGGCAAGCG